TTCTCATTCCTCTCATCCAACTCCTACATTAAAATTAACACATTATAGTTATTAACGAAAGACACCTTAAAATTTAATTATTAAAATCGTAACTGTAATATATATATAATAACCTTGTCGTCTTTAATATCACCAAAAACATTTTCATTTGTATTATTTTTATTCATCCCTTCATCTTCTACAACCTACATTTTCAACTATAAATTATAAACAAAAATTTTCAAATATGTTAATAAATTATATAAAAAATGTAGCGTGTAACTAACCGGTTGACCAAATTTTGTTTGGAATACTGTAGGCTCCTCAAAACTGATATTATTCCATAGATCTTCATTATTCACTTTTTCAACAAACACCTCAGTAGCTTCTCGGTTCATAAACACCTATTGCTCCAGTGCATGTAGCCGTTTTAACACCTCCTCTAAGCTGGGTTTCCCACTACGCCCACCTCTACCGTGAGAGCGACCACCAGACGACATACTAGACGAAGATTCGGCTTGTCTCCTAAAATGGTTCCGTACTGGGGATGGAACTGATTTCCGTTCACCATATACATACTCTTTCAATGACATATAATAAGAAGATGTCATCTCATCATCACTAGGTGACATTTTATTTTTTGGTCGTTGTCCCTCCTAAAAAATTGAACATATTAAAAATACATATAAAAGTATAATAATGAATTTTATTAAAAATAAAAAATTTTATAAACCTGTGTCATTGAAAAAATGTTGTTCACATCAACCCATTTCAATTTTTTTGTGTCACTCCATCGTTTCATCCGAGGCATGTCTCTATTTTTTCTCAATACAAATCCACATGCACGAACAGCCGGAAGTATCTCATATATCCATATCTACAATTTTTACAATTATATTAATGAAAATTAAAATTAAAATAACTAACATAACAATAAAAGCATTTAAATATAAATAATTTTTTATACCCTAAATGGAGCCGTAAATCCTGAGACGGAGTATTTTAAAGTTTGACGACGCTCCGACAGTGGTAAATATTTATTTATCTTGTTCCATGTATCCTCAAGGTCCTCATAGGTAAAATCCCATAAATAGCTACCCCAAGCAAAACTAACAAAACAAAAAAATATTAGTTATAATATACATTAACATTAATAATATGAAACTTTCAAAGTAAACAAAAAATATATGTTCCAGACATCCAAATTCCCAGCAAAAAAAAACCAATATTGTGGCACCCGATCATTTATTTATTTCCCAAAAAACCTTCACACAAAATGTATATCAAACATACTCTAACTGCATCAGTGTCGCCAACTTCTAAGAATGGATGATTTAAAATATAACTTTTCAGGCCATCGATTTTCACCGAACTATTTGTATGGTTCGGAAATAGACGCTCACGCAATAAACATCTGTTTTTAGTACTAACTATTTTTTCTGACACTTTTGTGCCGATTATTTTAGGATACTCGCCAAAATTCAACCCGGTTATCAAACAAAACTCTTCTGGGTCATATACCATTTTCGTATCACCCACTATAAAATATAATCGTTTTATTCCATCTGGAGATAAAACAACGTCCGACCGTATCTGATGAAGAAACATCTTGTGGAACAGCAATCCGTCCCCTTGTAAACGAGGGACGTTCAACAAGTAACCAAATATTGTTTGTCTAAAAATATCACGTCTGGCACCATCTAACACAACAATACTTCTCAATGTACACCCCGATCCTTTTAAGTTCACAATAACTTTAACATTGAAATTATTAGAATCATGTTGCACAAAAAACAACAACATATTAGAAAACTAAACAACTATTTCATTTTCAAATATCTGAATATTAAATGCAATAATAATCCAACATTCAAATTACAAACATAAACAATGCAAAAACAAACATTTAATCAATAATTTCTATATTTACGCTGCAAAACAATAAAATACTATAACCATTTTTCAACTTAAACGACAATTATATACAATTTTTCAAGTTATACGACAAGTATACAAACGATTTTTAACTTTCAAATTAAAAAAAATAACATATTCTAACCATACTATAACAATTTTTCAACTTAAACGGCAAGTATATATACAAATTTTCAAGTTATACGACAAATATACAAACGACTATTGTAAACATATTGTAAACATTATTATAACCATTTTTCAAGTTATACGACAAGTATATACAATTTTTCAAGTTATACAACAACTATACAAACGACAAATAACATATTCTAACCATGCTATATCAATTTCTAACCTTAAACCACTAACCAAACATATTGTAAACATTATTGTAACAATTTATTTAACTTTGAACTTAAAAAAAATAACATATTCTAACCATTTTACTAAATATACAACTAGCCAATACACATTCTACGTTGTCTATATTTGTACATTCATACAACCATTAACAAAATAGCATTAAAACTTCAAAGTTACTAATAAATAATATTAAATCTATCAAATACAACAAAATTACCCAATAAAAAACAATATAATTTCATTTTTTTACACTAATTAATACAATAAATAATAAAATAATAAAAACATATACTAAATAAATGTTAATTAAAACATAAAAAGAGTTAAAATCTAACCATATTTTCGGGATTGTTGAAAAAATCATTCATTTTCTTCAAGAAATCGTCACAGGGAATCGCCGAGAGAGAGTTTTTCTAAATTGAAGAGTGAAAAATCAAGAAAAAAAACGGTTTTATAGTGTTTTCTTCCGAAAATCACAGGTGGAATATGTTAAATCGCAGATGGACTATTCCATTTGCGAAGGTATAAGTGCCTAAAGCACAACTGTGCTTTAGGCGCTTGTACCTTCGCAGATGGAAAGCCAAAATTGCAGATGAGTCATTTCCATCTGCGATTTCAGTGGTTAAAATTATAATTTTGATTTTTTTTGGTTAAATTTGTAAGGTAATTAGTGTATTTTACTATATTTGTAATTATCTCTTTTTAAAATACATATGCATAAAAACTCTAGACATACAAACTTCTTAAAAAGCCAAATGTTGCTTTTTGCAAGATGAAAGGATTAGCACCTTATCTTGTTCTTCGTTTATATGTTTTATTAGTATTTTTCTTATATAACCGAAAGAAATACATGAACTAAGAAAAAGTTAATTTGATGAATCTGAAATTATATATATACAGTTTATATCTATCTGAATATGTCAAATTCTATAAAAATAACACCATGGATACAAGTCGTTTAAATGACATAACCTTGAATCTTGATATATATATATATATAGATATATATATATATATATATATATATATATATATATATATATATATATATATATATATATAGAGATGAGCTCGGTTGAGAACTCATAGTTTCCCGAGAAACTGAAAAACTAAAAGTGGAGCGTTGGATCAAAACTAATTCATTAAGGGTATGATCGTCATCATACCAATCCAACTTAATTTTTTGTATTATTGCAAATATTAATAAAAAGCTCTCAAATTAACATTATAAAACAAATTTTCGGATTTTTTTTATATAAAAAAAATAATTTTCGTTTTTTTTTAAATTGCAGATTTTTTTAACTTTTTTGGAAAGCATAAATTTTTAAAAAATTTGAATTTTTTTTCAAAAAAACTGCAATTTTTTTTTAAAAAATATTGCATTTAAAAAAACTGCAATTTTTTTAAAAAAACTGTAGTTTTTAAAAAAATAAAAAAAACCTTTAATTTTTTCAAAAAAACTGAATTTTTTTTCTAAAATACTGCAATTTTTTTCAAAAAAAGTGCAACTTTTTCAAAAAAAAAAACTGCAAATTTTTTTAAAAAAATGTGCATTTTTTTAAAAAAATATAAATTTTAAAAAATCAGTAATTTATAAAAAAACTAAAATATTTAAAAAAAACTCTATTTTTTTTAACAAAAAAAAAATCAACATTTTAGGTGCATATATGCATATTTATTTTTTTTTCAAATGAATATATGCATATTTCTTATAGTATAATATTCGTAAGTAAATCATAAAAAATCTCATTTTTTATAATCAACCTATAAACATAATAGTACAAGTATTTTATTCGATACAAAATAAAAAATAAAAAATAAAAAATGCTACGGAGATTCACATTGTTATCATTTCTTCATATCAAGATTTTCATATTTTCTTCAATTATCACTTTTCACCTCTTCAATATTTTCCACAAATTCTTCAAAATCTACAAGAAAATTAAAAAATTTGATTAATGCAAGAACACTCACAAAAATGCACATGTAATTTACATCTGAATTACATGTGATTAATATGTGAATTACATATGAATCACATATAATTCATATGCGATTCACTTGTGAATCACATGTAATTCATATACACAAGTAATTCTTATGTGATTCACTTGTGAATCATATGTAATTCATATGTGATTCACTTGCGATTTACATGTAAATTACATGTGATTAATATGTGAATTACTTGTGATTTACATGTGAATCACATATAATTCATATGTGATTCACTTGTGAATCACATGTAATTCATATGTGATTCACTTTTGAATCACATGTGTTATTTACATGTGAATCACATGTAATTGATATGTGATTTACATGTGAATCATATGTGAATTACATATGATTGACATGTAATTCATATGTGAATTACATGTTATTTACATGTGAATAACATGTAATTCATATGTGATTTACATGTGAATTACATGTGATTTACATGTGAATCACATGTAATTCATATGTGAATCACATGTAATTCATATGTGATTCACTTGTGATTTACATGTGAATCATATGTAATTCATATGTGATTCACATATGATTCACATGTAAATCACATATCAATTACATGTGAATCACATGTAATTGGTATGATGGAATCATGTAAAGGAATGGAATTACTTTATCAAGTCTTGATTATGATCAAATTCCATAGAGTTGAGGTGTTGTGTTTACCTTATACACTTATCAAGTCTTGATTCTTCAACATTTAGATGTTGAAGCTCAGCCGGTCATCAACAACAAGAGGGGAGGATTTTGTTTGAAAGAATTGCTCCTTCAACATATTGTGTAAGGCCTTCATTTAGGATCAAGAAACACAGACACAGTTAAACACACACATTAAGATAAATGATATATATATAAAGAGAGATAGACACAAAGTACATGAGTAAAAAAATAAATATAAATCCCAATAAAAGTGGCTCCAGCATCATATAGTTGTATTAAAAAAACAAATAACAGTTGTCCTAACAAGCTAAATGTTCTATAATAGTAAGAGAAGAACTTATAAGTTATATTGGCTCTTGCCGAAAGTACATGAGTTAAAGCATCCTCTTGGCTAAAGTATTTATTTGATTTGATGAATAGACAAGATTATGAATTTGATGAAATTTTAAGGCATTATGGACAAGCATCTCAAGATAAGGCAATCTTTAGGAAGCTGAGCCAATCCCTCACATAAGATGAAAAGGCCCCAACTGCAAACTTGTTTTCTGAAACAAGTGAATTTTTCATGTCCCATATGTCAACATTTAGCAAATTAGATGATAATACTTCAGAAGAATGCAACAAGAAATATAAGGTAGCTGCTAATGCTAATCCTTATTGGACACATACACATGTGCCAAAAATTTGATGAATACATTACATTTCTGAAAAGGTTTTCCCAATAAATTATATAAACTTTTGTATACGACAGCTAATAATTTCTATTAGCAACATGCAGACAACGCACACTAACAAATAAACTACTGTGTTTAGTTGGTGTACAGTTATATTAACTATACATATTACCAAACTACAGATTGTACCTTCAACGAGCAGTTCTGGTGGAACAACAGCAGGAGCATACAAATTTACAAAAGTTATTAACAGCATTTTCTTTTCCAAAATAAGTTTTTCAGGGTGAAAGAGTTGGCGATAAGTTCCTGTTCTAACTTCATCAATGACAGTTGGCTCAAGATCAACAAATATTGCTCTTGGAACATGCTTTCCTACTCCAATTTCACTAAGGAACGTGTTGAATGCATCATCTACAACTCCAGGTGTGGTGTCACTGAAAAAAGAAAGAAAGAGTTTGATTTATTAGCTGCATCGTGCATTATAAAGATCTATTTGGAATCTGAGTGAATTAGGAGATTAAACTGTTGGAATTTTCATAGTCAGTAAAAGGAAAGAAGACATAATGTTCACTGTATTGCAGTCAAAGAAAGTCAACCACGTAGATCCATCGAATTTTAGCTTATAAACTTGAGATCCAATTTTGGATCACTTCAAACGCATTTAATCGGATAATTTTCCATTTCTAATGATATAAGAGGTAAGATCCTTAAATGTATGACCTGACGAGCCCTTTACCACAAATTCAAATCCATCGAGAATCAGAAATTGAAATCATAGAACAAAAACATAGTAAGAATCATGATGTAGAGGTGAGATTCGGAGATTTCATCTCTAAATCTGGGATGAAGATGAACATGAGGGAGAGAGAAAATCAGTAAATAGAGTGAATAACAAAAGTGCGAGATCTAATCATCATCCTTCGAATTCGATAATTGAAAGTCTCTACCAAACAAAATCACGATGGATAACAGGCAGGAGAGAAGATTTGGTGACGTGCTTGTGTTAGGGTTTGGTTATTCCTGAGCACTACGAGAACAATTGACAGCTCCAAATTTGATATTTATTTTTCCAGGAGCGATCATAGCTGGAGAGCTGTGACATATGCTTTGTACCGGAGACGAGCATCATCGAGAACTCCACCGATTTTGTCGAAGATAATATCACCATCGGTGAGGAATGTCATTGAGGCGGGATGAAGAGAGAGAGATAGGGAGAGAAAGGGGTCTGAATTATTTCTTTACTAACATGCCCCTTATTCATAATAATTATGATGCCCCCGTGTCTTTTTGTTCAAACTATTTACAAAAACGCCATCGAACATCCTAGCCTTCTATTATTTTGATCTAACGGCTCACAATCGGTTCTCGGGTTCTCGGGAAAATTTGAGTTCTCAAATGATCATTGCTATATATATATATATATATATATGTATATATATATATATATATATATATATATATATATATATATAGGATGAGGTTCAATAGAGAACCATAATTAACCAATGAACCAATATTTTTTTCAACTTTTAGAACTTAGTTTTTATTAAAAAAAAAACTAAAAATACAGAAATTCATAACTTTTTATCATTTTTCCAATGATATCAAATTCGAAAAAAAAAATTCGTCAAATTCACATGGTGAATCTGAAAAATATTTTTCACATTCACAATGTTAACTTATGAATTTACATATTTTTAGATATTTTTTTCGATAAAGAATAAGGTCTAGAACCTGAAAAAAAGATTTGGTTCTTTGAGCAACCAATAATTATGGTTCTTTATTGAATTTTTCTCTTATTTATATATATATATATATATATATATATATATATATATATATATATATTATAATTTTTTTTTCAATTAACAGAATAAATAAATATTTTCAAACATAGCAAGGAATATATGAAAGGATATTTTCGTACCCAGATTGCCCTCGAAAAAAAAAAATAGGGAAGACGAGAATATCAAACATCACTTTCCCATATCTTCATGATTATGACGTGGGGACAAGGAGGAGATCTCATTATCGGATAAGTATTTACTGAAATACCCAAACAATTTCTTTGACTTAACTGCCCTCCATTACCTTGTTTTGTTTAAGGTTTAATTATTTCTAGGGGTATATATGGAATTGTACTTTTAACATTTTGTGAAAGCGACCCATTTTATGTTAAATAATGTAAAAGAAACAAAATCAAAATATAATGGGAATTTTGGTATCTACGATCAAAGATATCGTATATAACGTAGGACCATACAAATTGCTGTTTACATTGACCAAATATTTAATAATCATAATTACAACTACGATCAAAGATATCGTATATAACGTAGGACCATACAAATTGCTGTTTACATTGACCAAATATTTAATAATCATAATTACAACTAGAAAGGTTACCAAATATATATCGTTTAAGGTTTAATTGTTACCCCCGCTACGCGGGGGCCAAAAACTTTCAATGTTGTTTGCGAATCGATAATATGACAGACGTAGAAAGTGCAAGGATGAAAAGCTCGGGCTTTGCCCCAGACCATTTTTTTCATGTTTTTATGAAAAAATGTAAAAGTTTTGACTGCAAGGACCAGAAATGTCAAAATGGCTAAAGAATTAAAGGGGTAGGAATTAGCAACTTTTTAGAAAATGGATCAAAGTTGTCAAACCGTTAAAGTTTTGTGGACAAACTTTAAATATTAAAAGGTTCCTAAAAAGTGTAAAAATATTGATTGTAATGACCAAAAGTGTCAAAATGGTTAAAGAATGAGGAGCAAAGTTGCCAAAAAACATCCAATTTTTATGACAAAATGTAAAAGTTTTGACTGCAAGGACCAGAAGTGTCAAAATGGCTAAAGAATTAAAGGGGTAGGAATTTGCAACTTTTTAGAAATTGGATCAAAGTTGTCAAACCGTTAAAGTTTTGTGGCCAAACTTTAAATATTAAAAGGTTCCTAAAAAGTGTAAAAATATTGGTTGCAGGGACCAAAAGTGTCAAAATGGTTAAAGAATGAGGAGCAAAGTTGCCAAAAAACATCCAAATTTATTATTCCTAACTTTGAAACCCAATAATAATACAAGGACCAATTCTACCAAAAAAAAATGACAAGTTTACTATTCCTTTTCTTCATAACTTTAATATATATATAATAATAAATATGATTATGTTAAATAAAGGGTTTTTAGATGTAGGTTTTAAAATTGAAGTAACAAGGTATTAATATTTTTATTGATATGCGTCGTGTTTACCCAGGTTATTCTAATATGGGCGTGTTTGACCCGAAACGTTTGAGAACATTTGAGAACTTTTAATTTTTAACGTTTGACAAAATTTTCCGTTTTAAACAAAAAACCTCGTTTGACACAACAAACGTTTAATATTTAGTTTAAACAAAACGATTCAAATCTAAAAGCTACATCATGTAGTTTTTAACAAAACGCTACAAGCTACCCGCTACCCGCTACCAGTTCGTTTTGTCAAACATGCCCTATGTATGACTTACCTTCGAGGGTGCTCATCGGGTTGGGTAGCCATCACAATGGTCCGTATTGCTTGGAGCCGATAAATAAAGAAGATATTGTTGTGTTGGTAACCCGATTTAATTTCTTTTGGGAAAGAATTAAAAACATTATGGCTCTTGTTTTAGGGCTAAGTTGATTAGAATTCTCTTCCATAAATGTACCGGTAGTCTCCATTCTCAACTGGTATCTAAATCAACCTGTAAGGACATTTGATATCTTCGTAATTCTTCACTAACCAATCCATCATAATCACGATATCAAAGAATATATATTAATAGGTATCAAATCTACCAAAAAGTTATGATGTCCAATACTAGAGTGCAATTTTTATCTACTCTGTCAGCTACCAAAATTACATCATTAGTCATACTAATAGTATAAACGTTTTTTAGACGTATGAAAGACACATATTCCAAGAAACAAAACATAATGATGCGATAAAAAAAAGTTGGTTGCTCCATAATCAAATAAAATACGTGTAGGTCGAAAATTCATAAAGAAAATACTAGTCACATCGTCTGAATCATTACAAGCCTCCTCAACGGTAATCTAAAAAGCTTGAGCACATGCCTTGGTCACCTCCTCGTTTTGATTTAAGGTACTACCCATCATTGGTCTTTGTATTGGCGCTTTGCTTTCATCACGTTTAATACAGGGGCATTCATGTTGTCGGTGGCCCAAAACTTCACAATAATAACAAGTACGGTTCTTCTGTGGGCAATTAGTACGAACATGGACCAAGTTACCACAATTGAAACATCTCAGGCTTGTCACTTTAGTATTCATCGTCCATAGTAAGGTTTGCTACACTTTTGACAAGTCTGAGGTGCATTCGATTGCTATAATATAATGTTAATTTACATAATTCATATTTTCTTAACCAACTTATTCACAATGCCTAGAGAGTTTAAGCTTGTGATGGAGAATGCAAAGTAGCTTAAGATTGAGATCATCTCAGATGGAAAGATCGAGACTAATAGTGAGTGATTCTTCACATATACTCAGGTCATACTTACGCCGTTGATCATACTCAATAACCTCATTAAAAATTGGGATATCGCGGTTTGCAACAAATCTTGAGTTTCGCCAGTCATCCCATCCATAAAGTGTTGTATACAATCTTATTCTGAAGTCAAGAATCGAAAGGAAAACTGTGCTTTCCGATTGAATTGATTCTCATACTCAATTACCGTTGTATTTCCTAGTTTCAAATCTAGAAACTCCTTCTTTAATCTCTGTTTGCAAGGCAATTGAGCAATATTGTTCATAGAATCGAGTTTTGAAACACTCTTAAGTCATGCATTCCCATTTATTTACATTCAACAATTAGAACTTGACATCCCACCAAGTAAGTCTACGTTCCGCGTGAGGGAGATTAGTGCCTATAGTCATAACAAACCGGGTAATATTACTATAAATAGCAGTGTCCTTTCGGGTTACACACAATAACAAAAATAAAGCAAAACTGAAAAGATATTTATGTCAGGGACTTGTTTCATAATTAATTAGAAAATAAACGAATTTGGAATATTCTTGATGTAACATATGGATCCCAAGGTACTTTACATTTTGCAAAATTTGGCATTTTATAGGGTTGCCATGATATCACAACTAGGAATTCTAGTGCTTTTGTAAACATTAACAATGACGACTTTTGTGATTAAAATTTGAAAGCATGTATGATGCTTATTTAATGACAACAAAATTCCATCAAACACTCTATACAAACACTCAAATAGTCAACAAAAGGTTGGAAACCCAAGAAATCCCAATTTAAGTCCAATATGGACTAGGATTTCCTTATTGCGCCTAATGGACCACTAAGCTTCCAATTTGACTATTTTGGGCTTAGGACCCTTAAATGGGCCCTAACTGGAACCACTGTCATAAAACTTAACATTTTGGGCCATAATGAATCCAAAAATGAATTGGTTTACCTTAATGGGCCTTATTGGGCCATAGTTGATTTAATTAGCTTTCATGGACCATAAATCCATTCTTTTATACAAAATTGGGCAGTGAACTATCCTAAGGGACCAATGGGCCGAAAACCATCAAAATGGGCCTCCTACTATTGGAACCAAGCATTAAAGGCCCATTCCATCTCTCTTCTTCCTCCCTCTCGGCCCATCATCATATAAAAAAGAGAAGAAGAAAATTAAAGGGGGAGGGTTGACTTTGGAGTGTCACCTCCATTTTGTCCATCATACACCCATGCAAGATCCTCCATGTATCCAAGATAGTCATTCACCACTCTATCTCTCTCCTCTCTTCTTCTACTCGGCCGAGAGCCCTCAAACACACACACACATCACAACAAATTCTCTCTAATTCTCTCAAGACTCATTCATCTTTTTCATCCAAAAATTCTCAAGACTTTTGCTTGTGTTTCAAGAGGTTTTCACAAGATAATCATCATTTTTTGGTAAGTCATTACACCTCCAAGTTTTATAATTCCATTCTCTTGATAGATCAGTCTTTTAAGCAAAGTTTTGGTGATTTTGCTTCCTAGAACTTCTTAAGTTCGAAATCCACTCAAGAAAGCTTGCTAGGACCAAAATCTTCTTCATTTCTTCTTCAAAACCGAATCATCAAAGCAAAGGTGAGTTCATACCCCTTGTTTTCGGTTTTTACTTGTTTTTGGGGGGAGAATACAAGTATT